CTTTATGTTGAGGTGTAATCCATATTGAAGGCTGCAGTCTTTGGATCTTCATCAGTAAGTGCTTCAAGTCCTCTTCGCTTTCAGCAAGCAAGGTTGTGTCATCTTCATATTGGAGGTTGTTAATGAGTCTTCCACCAAACTTGAGGCCATATTCTTCTTCATATAGTCCAGCTTCTTGGATTATTTGCTCAACATACAGATTGAATAAGTACAATGAAAAGATACCACCCTGATGCACACTCTTCCTGTTTTTAAACCATGCAATATTTGCTTGTCGTGTTTGAAGGACTGTCTCTTGGTCCATGTACAGGTTTTGCATGAGCACAAATAAGTGTTCTGGAATTTCCATTCTTCACAATGTTATCCATAATTTATTATGATCCGCAGAGTCAAATGCCTTTGCATAGTCAATAAAACACAGGTAAATATCTTTCTGGTATTCTCTGCTCTCAGCCAAGATCCATCTGACATCAGTACTGATATCTCTCTTTCTACATCCTCTTCTAAATCAGGCTTGAATTTCTGGCAGTTCCCAGTTGATGTACTGCTGCAACCGTTTTTGAATTATCTTCAGCAAAATTTTACTTGCATGTGATATTAATGATATTTTTCAGTAATTCCCACATTCTCTTGTGTCACCTTTCTTTGGAATGGGAACGTATATGGATCCCTTCCAGTTGGCTGGGCAGGTAGCTATATTCAAAAATTTTTGGCATAGGTGAATGAGTACCTTCAGGGCTGCATCTGTTTGTTGAAACATCTCAGTTGGTATTCTGTCAATTCCTGGAGCCTTGTTTTTCAGTGAAGCTTGAGTTTCTTCCTTCAGTATCATCAGTTCTTGATCATATGCTATCTCCTGAAATGGTTGAATGTCGACCAATTCTTTTTGGTACAGTGCCTCTGTGTATTCCTTCCATCTGCTTTTGATACTTCCTGCGTCCTTCAAGATTTTGTCCATACAATCCTTCAATATTGCAACTCGAGGCTTGAATTTTTTTTTTTTTTTTCAGTTCTTTCAGCCTGAGAAATGCTGAGCATGTTCTTCCCTTTTGGTGTTCTATCTCCAGGTCTTTCATTATAATACTTCACTTGGTGTTCTCGAGTTGCCCTTTGAAATCTTCTATTCAGTTCTTTTACTTTGTCATTTCTTCCATTTGCTTTATCTACTCTACATTCAAAATCAAGTTTCAGAGTCTCTTCTGACATCAGTTTTGGTCTTTTCTTTCTTTCCTGTATTTTTAGTAAACTTTTGCTTTGTTTGTGTATGGAGTCCTTGATGTCATCCTACAACTCATCTGGTTTTTGGTCTTCAGTGTTCAGTGCTTCAAATCTATTCTTGAGATGGTGTCCAAATTCAGATGTGATACACTCAAGGCCATATTTTGTCTCTTAAGGTTTTGTCATAATTTTTTTCAACTTCCACATGACCTTGCATATGACCAATTGATGGTCTGTTCCACAGTCAGGCACTGGCCTTGTTCTGACGAAGATGATATTGAGCTTTCCCATCATCTCTTTCCACAGATGCAGTCAATTTGATTCCTGTGTTTTCCATCCAGTGTGGTCCACATGTATAGTCACCATTTATGTTGGTGAAAAAAGTAAGTACTATTATATTGTTCTCTAAATCAATCTGGGGTAGTTATGAATATATTCAGAAATAACATATTTTCTTCTAGCCATTTAGGATTTCACAGTTTATTATAACTGATGAGCACATTCATTATTTGTAACTCTACTCAGAAAGTATTTAATAAATATTTAAAATAAAATGATTATGATAAATGTTGGAAAAACGCATAAACAAAATTCAAAAACAGATGAGGAGGAATTTAATTTTAATTAGGGTTATCTATGGAAAGCTGGTAGAGAAGATTGTATGCTTACAAAATATTAAGAAATGTATCTACATAACATAGACAGAGAAGTGAGAGAGTCCATGTAGTGCTCATATTGATGCATAGTATACTGTTATTAGAAAACAGGCCACATCTGTCCAAGTAGAAACTATACCCATTAAGCGATAACTCCCCATCCTTTCTTCCCTCCAGCACTTGGAAACCTCTAACCTGCTTTCTGTCTCTATGAGTTTGCCTATAGTATATACTTCATGTAAGTGCAATCACATAATATTTGTCCGTTTGTGTCTGGCTTATTGCACTTGGCATAATGTTTTCAAGCTTCAGCTATGTTATAGCAAGTATCAGAACATCAGTCTTTTTATGTCTGAATAATATTCCACTGTGGATCTATATCACATTTTGTTTATCCATTTGTATGATGATGAATACTTGGGTTGTTTCAACCTTTTAGCTCTTGTGAATAATGCTGTTATGAATATCTGTGTACAAATACACTTAACAAGTACCTGTTAATTACATAATTTATACTTAACTTTATAAGTACATTTGATTACATATTAAATATATACATATGGTTATCTGACTTCATATTAGCTACATGTCTATTGTCAAAATATTTGGAAAACACAAAAACAACAATAAATAAAAATGAACATTAACCTCACTAACCAAATTTCAAGTAATACATAATATATTGTGGTATTCTTCACTAAAATTTAAAGAGATGAAAAATAAATTCAAAGGCAGAGATGAAAAGAATGTAGGACAAAATTAACACTCAATTAAATATTGTCATTTGTAATGAAGATTAAATGAGTTAACTTACGTAATACCATTTTTCTCAAAGATTGTGACCACACTATTTAATTGTAATTGTTTTTCTCAAAAACTGTGAACACAGAAGAAACACAGCCAGAATTCTCCTTAGGAGCGAGGATGGCGAGACTTCGTCTCATATACCTTGGACGTGTTATCAGGAGGGACCAGTTCCTGGAGACTGATATCATGCTTAATAAAGTAGAAGGTCAGCGAAAAAGAGAAAGTCTTTCAACAAGATGGATTGACACAGAGGCTGCAACAGGTTGGCTCAAGCATAACAATGATTGTCAGGATGGTTCAAGACCAGGCAGTATTTCATTCTGTTGTACATAGGGTCACTATGAGTCAGAACCGACTCAACGGAAACTTACAACAACACTTTAGAATTATGATATAATCTTCTGTCTCCCTATGTCCTAACATCTAACAAAACATAAGGATAATAAAACAACACAAAAAAGTGCAAGTCCAAAATATATGTTTCTAATGAAGATGATTAGTTACAAATTAGATGAAGACTTCAACTTTCATGAGAAAGTGGCTTTCATATTTATTTTATTACTCATGAAATATTAAATAATGATGAAATATTAAGAAGCTTATTAAAAGAAGGAAATGTTATGTAGAAGTCATCATTTTAGGTTTTCTGTGGTATATAAAGATGAACATAACTCTTGTCAAGGGAGATCTACTATAGAGAGGAGTTAGTAGGTTACTGAGAAATCCGAGGACTCTTTCCAGAATTCCCTCATGGTCTACAATCTAGCAGAGATGTGGCCTGGGCTTTGTCTGGTTCCCAGGAGATCACTGCACAGTCTTTGCTACAGTTAAAACAAGCAATCTGGAAAATTTGACTTGGAAAATTTGAGATATAAGTATAACCAGGGGAAAACCAGATCCTAGTTTAAGAGTCTAGTTTAAGAGTCCATGCTCATAATACCTAATGTTGTCATATGACTCATAGTTCTCTTTTCAAAAATTAGCTCCCAGAACTTCCAGATCATCCTGATTGGAGAGGATTGTCGTGTATGTCCACATCTTCCGAAGGTTTCTGACTTCTCCATTTTTATCTCCTCAAATATTTGTCTGGAGCCATCATAAAAAAGAGAAAGAATAAAATCAGATTTGATTAGTGTGAACTTTGCTAGTTTCTGGCAGAGATGCAAAGATTTTACATTCTTTCACAGCAGGCGTTTGACTATCTAAAATCTGGAAGTGATAGCTGTCAGGATTTTATTAGACAGAATCTACAGAATAGTGTATCCAGAAAAGTGTTTGAATTGCTAGGAACTGAGTAGGTTAGGACAAATGGAAGAACTTTTTTCTAAAAATTTCTGGAATATCTATATGGATGAGTGGCTTTGTGGAAAAGATTCCTGTGGGACAGAATTACAAGGGAATAAAACATTTTTCCATAAAGCTTAATAACTCAAGAAGATGAGTATTTAAATGGAAAATTCACTGAGCTACAATGCAGTGAGGGAGCTGCTAAGATCTGAGGCAAGTAGTCACCTTTCCAATGTGTACTCTAGTGCAAAATGAAAAGTAAATACATTATGTCTCTTTCAGTTCAAAAATAAAAACGGTTATATATAAATATGTACATGTGCGTTTCTAGCAAGCCATAGAGAACATGCAATATTAAAGATTATGATGGAATAATAAGACAAACCAGTGAGTAACTGAATTTGTTTTATTTGTTAAATAATTAGACTATTTACTCTGTCTCATAGTAACTATATGTAGTGTTTTCATATTATCTAGGCAATTAGATCCATAATTCTTAAGGATAAAAAATAAAATATATTTACTAAGGCAAGCATTAACTGTTTTCTTATATCCAGAAAAGAGTAATGATTTGTTACCTCAATCTTCTAAGATTCATTTTTGCTTTTTTGATGAGATTAAGCTCATCCTTTTCTGTTTTTAGGAGATAAAATTGCCTAATAAATACATGACTGAAGAGAAAGAACTTTGTACTTCCTGTGACTATTTCAACAAAAATCTAGTGATATTTTGCATAAGTTGGACACAAAGAGAGAATTATTTACTTTATTCACCATCTCTGAAAGATGTGGTTTATTGCATGAGGATTTCCTAATTACTACTGCATTTTTAAAATAAGAAAACTAATAAATCCACATTAAAATAATGCCAACGAGATCTTTAAAATAAGAAAAAAATTTCATGGATTATATAGGATATTTTAGAACTGTATTGATGATGATGATGTTGATCATGATGAATTATATCTTTCATCTCTTCCCCTTTATACTGTTTTCACCTAAATATGTTTAAAAGAAATAGAGAGAGAGAGAGAGAGAAATGAACAACCATACAGTGATCACAGAGTTTGTCCTCCTAGGCCTTTCTGATGATCCTGACCTTCAGATTGTGATCTTCCTCTTTCTGTTCATCACGTATGTATTAAGCGTCACTGGAAACCTGACTCTCATCACCCTAACCTTGATGGACTCCCATCTGCAGACACCTATGTATTTCTTCCTCCGGAACTTCTCCTTCTTAGAAATCACCTTTACAACTGTATGCATTCCTAGATTTCTGGGTGCAATTATCACCAGGGATAAGACTATTTCCTATAACAACTGTGCAGCTCAACTCTTCTTCTTTATTTTCATGGGGGTGACAGAATTTTACATTCTGACAGCCATGTCCTATGACCGCTATGTGGCCATCTGCAAGCCCCTGCATTATACAACCATCATGAACAGGAAACTCTGCTCCCTGCTTGTGTTATGTGCGTGGCTGGGAGGGTTTCTGACCATTTTCCCACCACTTATGCTTCTCCTTCAACTGGATTACTGTGCTTCCAATGTCATTGATCACTTTGCTTGCGACTATTTTCCCCTCTTACAACTATCTTGCTCAGATACATGGCTCCTAGAAGTAATTGGTTTTTACTTTGCTTCGGTTACTTTGCTATTCACTTTGGGATTAGTGACTTTGTCCTACACGTACATCATCAGGACTATTCTGAGAATCCCGTCTGCCAATCAGAGAAAAAAAGCTTTCTCCACTTGTTTCTCTCACATGATTGTCATTTCCATCTCTTATGGAAGCTGCATCTTCATGTATGTTAATCCCTCTGCAAAAGAAAAGGCATCATTGACCAAAGGAGTCGCTATTCTCAATACCTCTGTTGCCCCTATGCTGAACCCCTTCATTTATTCACTGAGGAACCAGCAAGTAAAACAAGCCTTCAAAGACTTGCTCCAGAAAGTAGTGTTTTCCACAAATAAATGAAATTAGGACTTTTTTTTTCTTTTTTAGTAATAATAAAGACACACCTGGTTGACATGAGTTGGGAGTGACTTGACACCAATGGGTTTTTTATTTTATTTTTTATAAATAACAATTAAATAAAAACTTGAAATTCCTAAATATTTGTTCAGGTATGCTTGCTCTTTTAAAGTCTCTTTACCTGTCATATCATTTGATTTGATATTTTCTAAGTCCTTTTCTTCCATTTCCATGCCTGAGTTTCTCCCATGCAGTTTTTCTTGACTTATTTTAAAATATAGTAAAGTTTATTTCTCCCATAGAATTTTCCGAAAATCTAGTTTTTCTTTAAGACATACACGAGGTTAAAATGGAGTAAAATCATTTTAGTTCTACTTTTTAGTTTATCTTCTAAAAGACACAGGTATTATTGCTTTGTGCTTCAAATACAGTGTTTCAAAATTTGTGTAATTTCTTGTGTATTTTCAAGATAAATATTGATAATGTCTTAAATAATGTTTATAGAATTTCCATGCTCTGTATCATTGCCTATTAAATTCATTCCTTAGAGCTTACATGCACTATTGAATTGCACTTTATAGAGTGTTAAACTTTGTGAAATTTTATAGATTTTCTTAATAAATATTGATCATGATATTAAGTACTTTTTATAGAATTCCCATGTTCTGGACCACTTTTTAGAAAATGTATTTTTCCTAAAACATGCAAAATAAATGCACTAAAATTGACACATATTCCACTTTTTTTCTAAGAAAATTTTGCTTGCAAAATACAAAAATAAATTTACGATGCACTATGATTATTTTAATAATAAGGACAAAGTTGTGATAATAAATGGTTTGGCTTAAGCTATAAAACATTAATTTATGGCCATATTATGGAATAATTTCAACTTCAAAAGTTCATTTATTTTTCTTGTACTTCCAAATTATATTGATTAGAAAACTTTGTCTAACACACTTCATTGTTAAATAGTAATTTATGTCACAAAATATAAAAAATAATAGTAATTTCAAGTATTTGTAAAATAATGCCAAGTGTTGTTATACAGATTTTCAGTATAATTCAAATAATTTTTGGTCCTTATATATCTATCTATTTGCTGGTAAGATATGGAAAACAATGCATTCCAGTAAGAGAGATGAATATGTTGACTTCTGTCTGAGGATTTAAACTCTAAAGGAATCTTGATGATATATATTACAGGCTAATATTTGCCTGTGATTTCAATAGTATCAAATATCTTTTACATATTCTTTTTATTTATTTATTCATGAGTTTCTGTATATATTAAGAAAATGATTCAGTGATGGAAAAGAATGTCTTTTGCATTCGTGCATATCAATAGAAGAGGAAAAAATAAGTAAATTGATTATTGCAATGCAATTTTTTAAATGCTATACTATCTCTATGAAAAGTACATTGTACAGACAAATGAAGATACTATGGTTATAAATAATAACAGGCTTGACCACATCATTAAGAATTTGCAAAAAACATTACACCAGAATAATTATTTTGTTTCTTATACCAAGATTATAGCCATGATAAAGATAGCAGAAGAAGCAGAACAAAATGCTATATTGCAAAGCCTCAGATAAATAGACATACCACTAATAACTAATATCTAGTTAATACTTAAAAATGTCGGGCAAATTAGTAAGTACATAAACAATTATTTTTATGGTATCCTTAAGACATACAGGGGGTCCTTGGGTTTTGCAAATTGTTAATGCAATACTCAGCTGCTAAATGAAAGATTTGAGGTTTGATTCCAGTCTGAAGGTGCTTCAGAAGAAAGGCCTGGCAATCTACTTCTGAAAACTCAGCCACTGAAATCCCTGTGGAGCATAGTTCTACTCTGATGCACATGATGTCTCCATCAACTGGTTTGGCTTTTTTTTTTTTTTGATGACATAAGCAGTAATAATTTTGTGTGACTGGATTTTATGCTTTTAAACTCTACTGGCATACAAGAACAAATCTGTGATTCTGAGAAAACCAGTCTTTGATCCATTTTGAGTTAGTTTTTGTGCGTGATGTGAGGTATGGGTCTTGTTTCAGTTTTTTGCAGATGGGTATCCAGTTATGCCAGCACCAGTTGTTTACGAGACTATCTTTTCCCCAATTAATGGACTTCGGGCCTTTGTAAAATATTAGCTGCTCATAGGTGGATGAGCTTATATCTGGATTCTCAACTCTGTTCCATTGGTCTATGTATCTGTTGTTGTACCAGTACCAGGCTGTCTTGACTATCATGGC